TGTGCTAAATTACTAAAATACCCACCTAAACTTTTCTTGTTTTCTTATTTTTGTTCTTTTCTTTTAAACGTTAATTAATCCAAAAAAAAATGCTTTCATTTTCTCTAAACGAAACCAACTAAAATAACAAAAATCATTTTACTAACATAGAAAAATAAGTTTCTTTAAATTCTTGTTTCATTTTAATGGCGTATGAACGTCTCTCTTCATCTTAAGATTATAGGACTATAAGTATATAAATTATTAGATGTTTAAAAATAAATAAATAAAGAGTATCATCTCCATATGCTTTGATACTCTGAACCTTGCATCCCAAATGAATTGGGTTCAAACTTAATGGGTCTGGAAACAATATTATCTGATTTGGATTTAAAAATGTATCTAGAAATGGCACGTGTTGCTGCCAAATTTGGAGCCAAGGCAGCGTAATAATTTCTAAGGTTCGAAGGTTGGTTGCATGTTCCACCACTTGCTAAGAGCGAAAAGATGTCAAAAGCCCCGGAACCGTGTGTTTGTGGGTTTATCGGCACTCGGCATCAAGTTCTCTCAGAATGCTTTTTGGTTAGGATGCATGATACATGCATGTACAATTGTACACGTTATAAAGTCAGAATTAACAAATCACTGAAACTGAATTGATGATCGTCCACCAGAATACCATATTGGGCAATTTCCAATGTTGAGGAACCAACTCATCATTTCTATTTTGCTTTCATTTGAAAATCACTTTTCCTTTTACTTATCTCCACCTTAGAAAGCTTTCGGTGGTTCCTTGCCATTTCCTTTTTTTTCTTAAAAGTCTTCCCTTTATCAAATACAAACAAAAACTTTTTTCCATTCTTTTTCTTACGAAGAATTTTTTATCTTACTCACAACCTTGTGTTATTTTAGGGTTTCACTATCATACCGAAAAACTTGTAACCAATCAAAAATTCTGACCAATCAGGTGCTATTTATCAAATTTCACCAGGGTTTTGATTGGTCATAGCTCTTCCATTATCATGTCTTTCCCGCGGCATAGATTTTTCTATTTATTTTATATTCTCTCCTTTCCATACTCTCAATCCCCTCCCGCTCAACTTTGATGATAATTCAGTAATTAGACTAAGAAATACTTCTATGACGTTTGGATCAATACACCTATAAATGTTGATTATGGGGTTCCTGATCCATAAATTTTAGAGCTTAGGCCTAGGTTTTTTGCTTAGAACTAGAGGTGTAAATGGGTCTGGTATGATAGATTGTGAGCCATGTTAGGCACGATACGATTGTATGGGCCGTATCGGGCCTAGGGTTTTAAGCCTATCAGTTGACACAACATGATACAATTGAGCAAGTCATGTCACCCGCATGCCAACATGGCCCAGCCCATGGCACGACCCATATATATTATATAATATGTATATGTATTATATATTATATATAATATATCAATATCTATAATTTTATTATATTATTTCATTTTATCATTGCATATATAAACAATATTGTATACATCAAAAATTCATATAAAATAAAATTTTAAGATCTTTTTTTTATTTTTCTGACTATTTTTTAATTTATGTTAAAATTCACATTATTTTTTCAATTTTTTAAAAAAACATGGCTTGATCCAATTTGTAACCCGGCGACCTAGCCCAAGACTCGGCCTGTTACGTTAAAAAACAGAAAAGTAAAAAATGATTTTCCATACCATCATATTCTAATTGCAACAAAAGTTCCTAATTGAAAAACCATAATACGTGAATAGCTAGTTTGCATATGTCTCTATCAAACAGTTTTTCTAGCAAAATCATTGCATAATTAGGGGCTGCAATGATAAAAGAAGCACCTCAATGCCAAGCACCGTCCTAGGGGGTGTTTGTCAATATGTGTGCTTTTTGCTTTTCAAAACAAATATAACTGTTACATCAACAAAAGTATAGTGTTTTTTTTTCCTTGATTTGATAGTTGTTTTTTTTCTAAAAAACAAGATCATACATATTGGTAAGCACTCCCTTAATAATTCTAGGAGTAAAGATAATTAATTAAAAAACTTAGACTTGGAAAGTTTTTTTTTTCTTTGAAAAACGGCCTAAAGTTAGACAGAAGGAAATCTGGAATATAAGACCATGCTTGTGATTTATTTACATTGACACTATAATGAACAACTTTGGACTGTCATTAGTTGTTGTTCCGTCTCAATTTGGAAATTGTACAAAGACACATATATACAATGCAGATATATACAAAATATGAGGTTTTGCACTTCACATATTTATAAAATTTTATATTTTGTATTATTTTATATTATATATATTTATATTTGTACTCTTTTCAAATTGAGCCTAAAAACATATCTAATCAAGCAAGATGAAGGTGTAACATCGCACTTCGGCAATCAGGCTATAGTGGTATGGAGCTGCCATGGGTGGTTCAATCAAAGTTCAAAATATCGATACGTATCAGGCCCATATCAGCCAATACATATCATATCGAGAGCTTCCCAATACATCTGTTTTGATTGGTTTAGAGGGTGGACAGACCTTAAACCGGCCCCTTTGAACTAGATTAAAGAAAAAAAAAACTATCAATACTAACTAATACACCACTACCGACGTATCAATATTTTGAACCTTGATTTTGTTCCATAGTAACTACCAATAGAAGAGAAACAATGATTTGAGCATCACCCTCTAATATCACATTAGTAAACTGCAAATTCCTCGCAAAGAGAATGCCTTCCAAGAAAGCTTTATCTTCAGCAGCCTCAGGCTTACAATGAGAGATAGTCTCCAATTATCACCCTTTTCTTTCTTTTCTTCCAAAACAAAATAGGTAAAGGACTTGGCAAAATTCCCAATATATATTTTTTGAGGGTGCTCTCCCATAATTAATATAACATAATTGTCACGTAATATTGCAGTTACTTTTGTTTTCAAATCCAAAATGCCAATAATGCCCAAATGCGAAAACAGATAGGAGAAAATGGGGGTATGACTCTCTATTTCTTAAAATCCCATATACATGCATATACGAGTATATATCTAATGTAATATGTTTATATACTGCATTTATATCTGATTTTTTTAATCTAAATATCATTTCTCAAGAATCATGTCTTATCAGATTCAATTAAATTTCCAAGATATGCAGGCTATTTTATAGTATGGTTTATTAAATGTATAAATATATTTACAAGACATGCATTTTGTGCAAAAAAATTACCAAAGTTTATTTATTTATTTATTTTTGTGTTATGTATTGGGGATAGGGCAGAGTAGGGTGCATATGATACAAAGTATTTTGTATTATGTATTAAGTATTATTTATATTAGATATATATTATTATATTATATATCAAAATATTATTTATATTTTAAATGCTTATTTATTATAAGTAAATTTATTTTCTAAAAATATTTTTAGTTAAAAAATTTGAGATTCGATTTCCCAAAGGGAACTGTCTCCATTGACAATTAAGGATAGAGGGTAACTTTTATCCCTAATGAGAATCGGGGTTGGAAATGGGGATTTATTTCAAAATTAGGATCCTATGCCTCTTATTTGAAGGAATGCCAAATGACCATGTAGATAATTAGGTGATTAACAAAGGTTAGGCTTAGAGGTTCAACTTCTATTAGCCTGAATTCAGGGGCGGAGCCAATAAATTGTTATAAGGGGGGCCAAAACTTAAATGAAGTATGAATGGGCCCGTAGGGGGGGCAACTATTGAGATGGAGAGTGGAGAGAGGAGAAAATTTACATGGAAAGCTGTTTTTCAGTGTGGAGTTTTTGAACCATAGGGGGGGCATGGCTCCTCTGGGTCCCCTTGGCACCGCCCCTACCTGAATTGATATTTTACATTGTTATGGGTTTGGACTTTAGGATAGACTATTTGAATTTTGACAAAAGTCCAATCTGAACCAATCTGCTTAACGAGTCCAGCTTCAGTCCAAGCAAAGCCCATTCGTGCAGTTTTTATTGCCTTGCATTGAGAATATCTCCGTTCTTGTGTACTTTATTTTATGGGGAGATATTCTCAATGCAAGGTTACAAAAGGTTGTTAGAATGGTATGGGCATAGATTTGCCTTGATAAAAGTTGATCTCCTGCTTAACGTGCCACCCTTATTTAGGTCATCTAATCTACCCCTCCCAAGACCCTAATATAATTTTACGGACCTATGATATAGAAAGAGTTTTGAACAATCAAAACCCATCCATGAATTTTGATAAATAACACCTAGCTATTACGTTTATAATTCTAATTTATTGGCCAATTATTTTTTTGATATCATATTTTTTCCATATCATAGTCGAACCTTAATCAATATGGTAAAATTCATATGGTATCTAGTATGTCAGGCACATGAAATACCGGGAAAGAATACTCCTTTGATTGTTTTATTTATTAGCAAATACCTTTATCTTTTCATAACACCTAATTGGCTATTACGTTTATAATTCTAATTTATTGGCCAATTGTTTTTTCGATATCATATTTTTCCATATCATAGTCGAACCCTAATCAATATGGTAACATCCATATGGTATCCAGTATGTCGGGCACATGAAATACCGGGAAAGAATACTCCTGTGATTGTTTTATTTATTGGCAAATACCTTCATCTTTTCAAGACAAAAGTTACAACCACAATCGGTGCGGGTGCGAAAAGCGGGCGCCTGTAGGCTGTAGCTCTGTGAAAGAATTGGTGCGGGCTCCTAAGCACTGGATAGAGCGTCTGTTCCTATAAGCAGAATAGGTGTGGGTGCAGAATATGGAGCTCCATGGAAAAATTGATCCCTTTTCTCCCATTCGTCGCCCCAAGGAAATAATCGTAATTTCGTTGGAATTATAGTCGCCACCGGTGCATCGATAGCTAAGTTTGACGGTCTGTGCCGACCTGGCGCTTTTTGGGCCGAAGATCACACAGAATCTCCCTAAATCGACCACGTGTCTGACTATAACTGGCTTGTTGATTGGATGTGGGCGAGCATTTCAAGGGCGTGGCACCTCATCGCCTCTCCCCTATTCTTTGCGTTGTTTTTCCTTCGTCTTCGGCTTTCAGAGAAGACAGAGAAATAGAAAGAGGGGGAGAGAGAGAGAGAGAGGGAGTCAGGGAGAAACCAACTTTCTTCTTCATTCTTTCAAATTTTCAGAGGTAGCAGGTACCTTCGTGCTCTTGAATCTCACAATCCCCTTTTTAACAAGTAATTTTTGAACTTAATAGGGTTAGATCTCTAGCGTTTTGCTTCATTTATTTTCTCTTTACAGATCTCCTCTCGTTCTTTATTGCTGAATAAATGAATGAATGGGTTTTCAAGTTTTTTTTTTTTTTTTCCTTTGATTTCTATTCCTACGTGGTGGTGGTGCTAATCATAAATTTTTTTGGTTGGTTATGGTTTGGGATCTGATAAGAGTTCGGCAGTTGCTTATATGGTTTTGCTTCAAGTTCTCTGCTTTTATGTTTCTTCCTCTGGATCTGGACATGGTTTCCTTGTAATTAAATCTTGTTTCAATTGATTTTAATTGGTACAGTGAATGTACCGTAAATAGTAGTAGCTTTGCTGTCACAGTCCACATGAGATCTAGTCTTAAATCATTAAATCCTAAAGAAAAAAAAATATAATCTTTTTTACTTCATTTATCATTATTTGCGCTGTCATTAATCTTGTACTGAGATGTAATAATAACTTGATACTTGTCTTAATGGCTGATAAATGCTGTTTTGGAAACTCTACACTCTGTTTTACCAGGACTTTTGAGGTCTGGAAATTGTATTAACATTGGGGCTATTGCTACTTACTTTGCAGGATCAGGTATTAGCTTAGCGTAACAAAGATGTCTCCGGCTGAATCGTCTAGGGAGGAAAGTGTCTACATGGCCAAATTGGCCGAGCAAGCTGAACGATACGAAGAAATGGTGGAGTTCATGGAGACCGTCGTCAAGATTGTGGATTCTGAGGAGCTTACTGTTGAGGAAAGGAATCTTCTTTCTGTAGCTTATAAAAATGTGATTGGAGCCAGAAGGGCCTCTTGGCGAATTATCTCCTCCATTGAGCAGAAGGAAGAGAGTAGGGGAAATGAAGATCATGTGGCAGCTATTAAAGAATACAGGGGGAAGATTGAATCTGAGCTTAGCAAGATCTGTGACGGCATTCTACGCTTGCTCGAGTCACATCTCATCCCTTCATCAACAGCTGCAGAATCCAAGGTGTTCTATCTTAAGATGAAAGGAGATTACCACAGGTACCTGGCTGAATTCAAGACTGGTGCTGAGAGGAAGGAAGCTGCTGAGAGTACATTGTTGGCTTACAAGTCTGCTCAGGTGGATGTTTCACAGTGATCTATTGTTATCCCAATTCTCTCTATATCTATTTGTCTTGTCCAATATAGCAGTCCTTAATTTATTTGGTGATTTCTTTTTATGTAGGACATTGCTCTGGCTGAATTAGCTCCCACTCACCCAATTAGACTTGGGCTTGCACTCAACTTCTCAGTTTTCTATTATGAAATCCTGAACTCACCAGACCGGGCTTGCACTCTTGCAAAGCAGGTATATCACATAAGATGCCTTTTCTTTTTCTTTTGGTTCGAGTACATTGGAACTGTTATTTTTATTGTTATGTTTCATGCATAATGAGAAGAAACTGCTTCAGATTTTCTGTCAGACTCACAGCATATGTGGAACTTTGAACCATTTGCCTTTTTTCTCCTTGTGATTGCTTGCTTGTCTGTTGCTTGTTTAACATCGTCAAATTAATGCATTGTTACTTCTGTTCTCTGTCACTACTTGGGAAGCATTCTAGCTTTACTTCAAGCTGTGCTTAGATTATGGTGACTCGTGCTGGTTCCATGGAAACAAACTGCTTTCAATATAGTACTGTATTAGTGTACTACTGTAATTTCTGTGCATCTGTTAATGAATGCAATAGTTGCTACACCCATATTTATGATACTAGTTTGGTTGAATGAGACATGTTCAACTAAAAACCTCATATGAGTGAATTTATATTGACATTACTTGTGGGAGTCATACACCTGGAGGCATGTCTACAGGCGAGGCACCCCCAAAACGCCCTGAGGCATATGCCAGAGGCGCTGATGCAACTGAGGTGCATGAGGTCTATTTCATGTGTGAGGAATTTCATTACTTGGATGCATATCCCAAATCACTGCTGCTTACAGCCCTGCGTACAAGGTTTTTGGAAAAATATGGAGGTTCATATCTTAATGGTCATCCATCTTAGCAGAACCTGAGGATTCAAATTCTCCAACTTCTGTAACGATTGGCATTATATGCTTCTTGATTCAGCTCTTGAAGAGGGATTTCACTGTAGCCATACTGTTTTTGTTTATCAATAAGAAAAAAAAAAAGAAAAAAAAAGGTTCTATTGGTCTTCCCTTGCCAGGCAGTTCTTGTACAAAATAGAAAAAATCAATGATGATATTCTAATTGTCAAAGGTTGTACAGTCTCCTCCAAGGAGGGGATTCCATGTTGGGGATGAAAGAATACATGGGTACGGCCTATGATAAATATTGATAATGTTGATTGAAAACTTCTAGATCACTTCATGTTTGATAAAGGCTTTTAACTTTGGGTTGGTAAAATAGATCAGGGACTTGGAGATGATGTGGATAAGGATTGCAGTCTTGGAATATATTGGAGCGCTTACATGCTTGGATTTCCAAAATTTATGAATATTTTTCATTTTGAAGCCAAAAACTTTTTGCAAGGTGCTGATTCTCCCTGATACGTGATACCTTTAATAGGCTTTTTAGTTTAGTTAAAGGTCTAAATTTTGTCATGGTTTTGGGGGGGGGGGTTGAGAGTTGAAAGTTTCATCCCCAGTGTTTGTCTTTTCCTTTTTGCTGGGAAAGAATTTCATTGAAGTCAATCTACACAAAACAGATTTTTTATGGAATTACTGTTGAAGGGGAGGAGTTGCAAATGCTTGCTAATATCGTAGGTTATGAGATAGAATATTAGCATTTGGATGTTTGCTGGTACCAGTAGGAATTAATCTAGATCTGTTAAATTTTGGCATTGGTTGAGGATAAGAATGATGAGAGACTTCCACCTTGAAAGCAAAATTACATGTTGTGGAACTTACATATTTCATGTTCACACTCATAAGCTTCTTGCAAGTCACATATCAATTTTTAAGGGTCTAATAAAGATCAAATAAAGGAACTGAGGACTTCAAAAAATGCTATGCTCTTTTTCTAAGTAGCATACTTCTCTTGATACCTGATCTTACTATGACAAAGATGATCTAATGATCTTACTACTTTGATGGTTTACTACTACAACAATCATAGGAGCTAGAAAATCCTAGGGAAATACTCCATGGCACAGTCTACTAATGGTACCCCCTACCACAAAAAGAAGTATCCTTGATTTCAGAGAAGACCAAAATACTAGAGTGAGGCATAAAACAATAATATGTTGGTCTATAGGAGGCCATAAGTTATAATACTGACAAGTGGAGTACATTATCTGATTATTTGTGATCGAATATGATTTTTTTAAGTTGTATGATTATATCCCCTGTGACTCCTAAGGCTATTGTTTATTATGGTAATGTATGATCTCTCTCCTAATGTCTGAAAAGTAGTTTGTAATCACCAAAGGAGATGAAATTGGAAGAAAGGGCTTTTGTAATTGGGCTCCATCTCCATGCATAACATACTTTTGAAATCAACTCAATGAAAGGTACCTTGAGGCTCTACAGCTTTGGGAATTGGTATGGCGTTAATATTTGTAGGGGAAATTTCTTGTACTATGTGCATAATTACACTAGAGCTTAGATTGTCAGGAAAGTACTGCAACTTGGTTGGGTTGTCTCCCACCTCCTATTTGCAGATGATGTCATTCTGTTCCTAGAAGCAGATTTGGAGAACATCGGAAGTATGAAGAGTGCTTTAATGCTTTGAATTAGTCTCCGGGTTGATGGTTAATTACTCAAAGAGCAGCCTAGCAACTATAAACCAAATTGAAGATTCTCTTCTAGGAAGTTTCAAGGAAACACTGAATTGCCGAGTGGAAAACTTTCCCCTTTCTTATTTGGGATTGCCCCTTGGTGGGAATCCAAAAAGTCCAAACTTTTGGGAGCTAGTGGTGGAAAAATGTGAAAAGAAATTAGCTACTTGGAAATGTTGCTATCTCTCAAAAGGAGGCAGACTTACCCTTATAAAGGCTTCTCTTGCAAACATGCCTGTTTATTTCCTTTCAGTATTTCAGATCCCAACCAAAATCAGATCACAGTTCGAGAAGCTCCAAAGAGACTCCCTATGGGAAGGTGGAAATGATAGAAAAAGGCATCTAGTAAATTGGAGTTAGGTTTGCAAGCCAAAAGAGGCTGGAGGGTTGGGAATCGGACACATAAAAGAGAAGAATAATGCCCTACTCGGAAAATGGTTGTGGAGATTCCCCATTGAATCGAACTCCCTATGGGCAATTATCATCACCAGCAAGTATGGGTTAAATGCCAACGGTTGAGACTGCAATCTCCGCTCAAACTGGCTAGTTTCCTTAGCCCCTTGGAAAGGTATCACCTCCATTCATAACCTCTTCTTTTCTTTCACAAGATTTAGGGTGGGTAATGGAAATAGAATAAAATTCTGGATGGAGTGATTCCACCTTGGCAGACTCCTATCCTAGGATTTACAGCCTTACCCTAAACAAAGATGCAACCATTTCTCAATGCCTCCCCTATTCCTTCAATGAAAGCAACATTAACTTGTGCCTCAAAAGACCCTTAAGGGAGCCGGAGATAAGCGAGTTAGCTGACCTCCTCTCCCTCAAAGAAGTTTACATTTCCCCAAACTCCCAAGATTCCCGAATTTGGAAACCACACCCAGGAGGTGAGTTCTCGTCTAAGACTTTTTTTGAAGCTTAGGTAGCAGAAAACCGAGACTGTGGTTTCCCCTTCAAGAAAATCTGGTGCAAGCTTGTCCCCTCAAGAGTGAGTTTCTTCGTATGGGAGGCGTGTCTGAATCGAGTTAATACTTGCAAGTTACTTTAGAAGAAGAACCTTGGAAGGCTTTATATCTCCCCTCATGTTTGTATCCTCTGTCTTTGTGAGGGTAAGACAGTTGATCACCTCTTCATACACTGCCAGGTAACCAGAAACATCTGGAACTACTTCCTTTAGCTAGTTGGGTATAGTTGGGTGGCTCCCAATCACCTTCAGGATTGAATTTCTCAATGTTATGGAAGAGGCCTGAGCAAGAGAGGGAAGGCTTACTAGCTGATAGTGCTTCAAGCAGTACTCTGGGGAATCTGGGAGGAAAGGAACAATTGTCTGTTTGAAAATAAGGCAAAATCTAAAGGTGAGCTGCTCAATCACATTGTTTATCACTGTAATCAGTGGGCTTCCTGCTCAAAAGAGTTCAAAGGAGTTGATATTAATGACCTCAACAGGAATGTGGTCCACTTTCTGCATTCCTCCCCATACACTCCTCACACCCCTAGAGTCCCCTCAACAAGAAGGGCAAGAACTTGGACTCTAAATTTTGATGGCAGTGCCCTGGGTAACCCTGGAGTTGCCAGGGTTAGGGGGAATCCTAAGAGATGAAAATGGACTCGTTTGTTGGGTTTATAGTGGGTCAATTGGATTAGCTGACTCTACAAAGGCCGGTATTAGCAGCCCTTACAGGGAGGGATTCACCTAGTCAGCAAACTGGGTATTCAGAACTTCTCCATCGAAGGCGACTCAGCAAACACCATAAAATGGTTAGGACAACAAGAAGCTGGACACCGGTATCCTAAATAGGAAGTACACTGGTAAGTTGGCCAAAGTTGATATGTCATCTGCTTTAGATCGAAGATGATCAAGAGATGGATTGACAAAGAAGTATCATCAGGAAGATGAGAAAAGAAGATTTGACTATGGACGGGTTTGTGGCTGCAGGACGATGGAGGAGAATGCTGAAGTTTGAAGCCAAGGAGTTTCTGCTTGAAGAGCTGAAAAACAAAGGAGGGGCAAGGTTGAAGATTAGGGAAGGGAAGAAGGCCACAATGCTGTTGCAAGGTATGGAAGTGATTAAATGGTTCAGGGAGTATGTGAATGAAGCATGCCTCAAAGGTAAACAAAGAAACTGGAAGGAATTGAGAACTCAAGAAGGGAAGAGGTATGTTGTAGAATGCAGAAGAAACAGTAAAGGGGGTTACTTAGCTCTTTCTGAATATTTCGGGAAAGGAAGGAG